AAAAAAAAAAAAAAAAAAAAAAAAAAAAAAAAAAAAAAAAAAAAAAGAGAGAAAAGCGTACCGTACAGAAGTTGTTTGCAACTTGAACTTTTTCCGAGAGCAAACTAGTGTAAAACGTGTATTTGTAAAGTTACAGTACAATTATTCTATTTGTTTTTTTCTTTTTTTTCCATTTTGTTTTCGTTTCGTTAAAACTCAGTAGCCCAGAAGCTGGAAACCAACATCTCCCCGGTGAAATCTCTCTGATTGGAAACTGTCAAGTCCCGGCGAGAGTACAAAGTTATCTCCCAAATTCGAGCTCAATCGCATGAAAATTACTCGAGTTAGTATGGAAACTTGATTACGCGCATATATACATAAATCCATACGTATTTACATGACGTAAATGCATCGGACCACCCTCGTGGTATAGATCAGATTAATAATTAATTTTGCGCTAACTACAGACAATTTACGAGTTATACTTTTTTCCCTCTTCCAATCAAAGTGCTACATTTCTTCATTTAACCGTCCCCCCATGAATATTCATGAGCACATATATTCGGTCGGGGGAGCCAAGGGCTTCAGGCGGGGCTCGACTTTCCTTACCAAACTTCGGCCAAGAAAGACTCGGCCATCCCCCATGCATTAGAAACTCCAGCGCGGGGCGAGGGTGGGTTTTATCTGGCCGACGAAATCTGCTCCCGCGGCTTTATTGAATTCCGAGGTTCACATTTTGTGATGCATATATATATATATACGCGTGTGGCGTATGCCGCTTTTAATTGAAATGTCGCCGTGCGATCGGCTCATTAAAACGTTGAACTATCAGCTATTGGGGTCTAAAATAGTAAAAAACAACTAGTTGAAAAGCACAAAACATTTCTAAACGATTTAAAAGTATAAAAATTATTTATCAAGAAAAAAACAAAAAAAAGCAGCAAATAGGTATGAAAATCATGCAGATTTGCCTATTGCGTACAACAATAATGATGAAGGAAAAAAAAAGGCAAAAAATCTCAAGTAACTGTATACGTATCGAAAATTGATGCATTACCCTAGCCCGGTAGGTATATGTGCTCGAAAGAAGGGCAAAATTGTTGCTCATCGATCATTTCGAGGAAAACATCTTGGCAAAAAAGGGCCAATAAGAAAAAATCGCAGTAGCACCAACTACATCCTATCTGCAGTGGGGGGGAAAAAACCGATCCAGCGCCCGTCTTCCTTGGATAGAGGCTGGAGGGAAAAAAAAAAAAAAAAAAAAAGGAGGTTCCGTCGAATCCACACCTTCCGGGACTAAGCGTCTTTTTGGCTCGCAGCCGTAACATTTCCCAGCTAAAACACACTACTACGGGAGGCTCTACGTCAGCACCCAAGGAGGAGTCGCAGGAAGAGAGAGAAAAAAAAAAAAAAAAAGAAAAAAAGCATCGAGTGGTGTGTAAGCGGGCGCGTACGTGTGTATATAGTATACGTAGGATGTGTAGGGGGCGGGGTGTGCAAGGTTAACTCACCTCGTTAAGCTCGGCCCTGGCGCCGGCAAAAAAGGAGGCCGGATCGAAGTGCCGCTGCGGCAGTCCAAAGTCCGGGGGCTTGACGCGTGCGGGCTGCTCCTTGCCAGTGGCGCTCCTCTTGCCTCGGGAGCGCGGTAGGTGCGCCTCCATCCAGCTCCGTATCTTCGTCCCGAACATGATTTCCTTTTTTCCCCTCCTCTCTGTCTATTTCTACCAGTGCTCCTATATATACACGGCTATTTGTCCTTTTTTTTTTTTCTCCCTCTTTTTACTGCAGTGATGCTTCCGCTACGTTGGAGTTGCTGTAGCGCAGCGTTGGTGGAAGCACCGGCGAATGGAAGCGCTTATTATTCGACGGCCTGGCTTTTCTCCCCTCCTCCTCCTCCTCCTCTTTCTTCGGTGCATCGGGTAGTTGCGGTAGTGGCAGCAGACAGTATCGATAAGCGCGAGCCATTGTGTCTAAGGGAGAGATGGCGTACTCGCGGCCCGACAAGTGCGTTTCCACTCTCTCTCTCTCCGGTGCGTGTTTTGTACGTGTATACCCTCTATGGTGATCTAGTTTTACAATTTTCTTTATTTTTGCGGTACAATGGTTTTTTTTTTTTTTTTTTTTTTTTTTTTTATTGGNTACCAAATGGACTCTGAGCGACTTTGGAGCTTTCAAAGTATCCCTGCCGTGTAATCAACTTTCAAGTCCTGCACGCAGGGGTAATATAATTTTCTTTTTTTTTCTCTTTCGTTGTTTGTACACTTTTTTTTTTTTTTTTTTATTGGTTGGAAAATTTTTGTTTATTCGTGTTGCAAGAGTTTTGCGGAAATATATCTTACTCTAGAGTAACAAAAATATATCATCTATACCTGCATCTAGAAAACATGTCTATGAAAATATGTTCACTAATTTTTCATGCTTATACGTGTCATTTGTATTTAAGTAGTAATGGCGAAGAAAAACAACTAATCGATATGAAAATGAGCTACGTGTACGTTTAATTAATTAATGCACAAAAGAAAAAAAAAATAAATAAACTAAACATCGTCTACCTATACGTTTGTAAAACACTATATGTCAAACGGTGCAGTAGGTATATTCGTTCAGCTATACCTTTACAGATAAAGGGCACAAAATTTCACCAACAGTGATAAAACACCCAACTGCATGATAATAATAATAATACGTATATATATAGTCCACGGAGCGGAGATAGATAAGCAGAGCACTCCCTGCCTCGACGTATAAATTTCCCAACGAGACGCCCGAGTGAAAAATCTCACACAATTGCGCGCTCGCCGCTAAAACTTCCACCCATACTAGAGGAGATACGTGTACATGCATTGAATTATTATATGAAATTCGAGGTTGGTAAAATTAAAGCGAATCTACCCATGTATCACGCGTATACGTAAACTCACCGCGAAGCGCAATTTCCTGTTTACAACGGGAGATTATACACGCTGAGCATAAATTTAGCTGTACCAACGTTATTGTGGCAATCGGCTAATTTTGCCATGACTGAGAAAAAAATTAATGAATTTTGTTCGATTGTACCCAAGATTTATTTCTCGCAAAGTGTCCTCCCTAGGCCAAAAGTTCCCTTCTCCCCCCGTTGGGTATTCGTCTTCGGGGGGATTTCTTACTTTTTAAATATTTCACGCGCCCAAGTGAGCCCGACAATCCCAGGAAACCTCTATACACCGTCGCATCTCACGAGTATTGGGAATTCGTCGCTTGTAACGTCACCATGAAAAAAAAAAAAAAAAAAAAAACCATTTTGCAACTTTCTTTGCGTTGACAATGAAAAATGGAACCACAAGAGCCGCGCCAACGATCAACGTCTCGTCGAATGGAGTAGAGACGCGTGTAGAAAAGAAAGAAAAAAAAACGGGCCCTCTCAACAGTCTGTCGCTGTTGTCACTGGGAAAAAAGAAAAAAAAAAAAAAATCAGCATCGAACAATAACTGTGTACCCCTCTCCCCCTCTCATCATCGATCCCAGCGAGAGAAAAAAGTACAAGTCTGTGTATAGGACAGGTGCCTACCAATCAACGGAGGATGGCCTCTTTGTACATAAATACACGACAAAAAAGATACATACAAGTTTGTGTAACATAAAAAAAAAAGGACGAAATATTTATAAAAGGGTGAGAGGAAGAGGGAAGAAGAAAAAGGGGTTGTACAGAGAGAGTGTATAATATATACATACGTTGGAACGCAGATGTCATAGGTGGTGTATGTTATTTGGCGAAAGCTCGCAGTCATGGCCAAGAGTTGCGGGCGTCGACGCGCCAACATTTTTCGGTCGAGCATCCTTGTATTGCTTATAGTCCTGTGCTCCTCCCGGCGACGAGGATGCGTTTCCGATCTTTCTCTCCTTGCGAATTGCTAAAAAAAGGAAAGAGAGGGAGGCCAATAAAAGGAGAATCAGGAGGGCTTATTTCTCGTTACTCGAGTGCGCCTTTTTTCCCTCAACCTCTCCTCCTTGACCCTTTTTTTTTTTTTTTTTTTTTTTCTCCTTCCCCGCTTTTTTCCTTCGCGATGCGAGGGAGCGTTTAGCGGGGTATGCACAAGATGCGGGTCGTTCTCGAGCGAGAGGGTGCCACCGCTCGCTCGATGCAGCTGCAGCGTGCATGTATATATGTGTACGTCTACAAGAGGGCACTAACAATAGAGGGCCCCTCCGGTGTACCCACCCGCTCGCGGATATTGAAGTTGACGTCGTTTGTTTTGAGAATTCAATTTCCACGTGAAATGAGTCTTTCTTTTTTTTTTTTTTTTTCTTCACCCCCGACCCCATTCCTCTATGAGCAAGGAATAAATTGTTTGACGCGTTTTCGAGGTGAATTTTTACACCACCCCGAGAGGAAGGTGTCGTACGAATGTTTGGCGTTTTCTCGTTAATACGGATCGTACAAACAAATATCCAGATACGCGATACTCGAAGCCACGCCCATCCAAGACACAGATAAATGTATACAGTAACGAAATTGTAAAACTCTCGAGGACTAAAATCATCAAGCTCGACAGACCTTTCGCTCCATTCCGGATGTATATACCCTTGGTTCGTGCAGCGACTCATTTCTAATATCCCTAAAAGCTTCATCTATTAAGAATCAGTCGCGAATCGCGTGGTAAAACCTATGCATATGTATATATATATACACGTTCAATGTGTCACTATTAAAATTCACCCCCTATCCAGGGCCATCCGATGTAATAGTGTAAGCCGACGGTGAAAAAAAGAGAAAAAAAGAAAGTTTCACCCGCGTATAGCTTATGGAAAAAAAAATTTTAATTTCCCTTGCCTTCGTTAGCACTTGCATTATTTATCGCTTGTGTGTATATATATAGTACATTATACCCCCATAATGAGCCTCACCGCTGAATTGGATCAACTCTCTCTCTTTTTCTCCGAGCCAAGACCATAAATTACCAAATGGACTCTGAGCGACTTTGGAGCTTTCAAAGTATCCCTGCCGTGTAATCAACTTTCAAGTCCTGCACGCAGGGGTAATATAATTTTCTTTTTTTTTCTCTTTCGTTGTTTGTACACTAACGATCAGTGTAAAATAAAGTGCACGGATGAAAGCCTCGATACAAATTTTCCCTGAGGGCAGCGAAAAAAAAGGGTACCCAAGTCTCGCGTTCATTTTTCAATTTCATCTATGTTCCAGCACCAGCGGCTTATCGGAAAAGAGAGGAAGGGACGCGTCGCCTAACGCATTTACAAGAAAAGCTCGATAACTCGGAAGGCGAGAGGAGAGCGATTGCCATATTGCCGGGAAAGTTCATCGACTCGACCTATGCTACGAAAGAGTCCATATTATACATTGTAATGCCTGTACACCTGTATTGTACCGCGAGCGCGTTCATCGACGTTTGTTCCGCACTTTGCTCTCCTCGCGCGTTCAAAACGAAAAACAAAAGAAAAAAAAAAAATTCAAGTAGGAAAAGAGAGAGAGAGAGATGAGTGTGGAGGCTCTGATGTATTACGTCGCTCGCTAACAACGACAGGATAAAAGCGCAAGGGGCGAGAGAGTCCTTTAATCAAGAAAACCGGCTCGGCGCAATTTTCCCCCCTCCTCCTCTTGTACGCTCACTCTCTCTCTGCCACTACATTATACTTTGGCACTTGAGCGAGACAAACAAAAAGAGAAAGACGGATGTATATGCATATAACCGGCTCGTCATCGCGGGGATCGGAAAATTCATGCATTATTTCGGTGGATCCGTCTGCGTTTGTTCCGTAGCCCCCGGCTTTAACTCGTCGCCCATATATACGCACACGCGCATTTGCAAGTGAAATAAACTCCACCGCGTGAAAATTCGCGCGTGTTTCCCACCGCCTCTATTGTTCTCTTCCTCTCTGCGCTTTTCGTCGATTACTCTGATGCTTTCTGCCACCGCCGTCGTTTTGATACTTATTGCAGTTTTATTTATTTATTTATTCGTTCGTTCGTTCGTGGTCAGTTGCAGCTGTTGTTGCGCCCCCCGAGCGATTAGCGCGTGTAAAATAAAAGTCGGTGGACACGTATCTCTTTTTCGTTGTGTACAGTGCAAATCTCGCATTGTTTTCCCATCCGTTTTCATTTCAATGGCGATCGGGTGGAATTTTAGTGTTTTTGGCGCACGAGGGTGCATTTTGCAATATCGATCGAAAGACTCGTATTTTCGTATGGGTGCAAAAAACCTCGCAGCCCGTGTTCGCACATCAAGAGTATGTATACCTTCTCATTCTTTTTTTTTTTTTTTTTCAGACCTCCAGCACCTCGAGTCGGCTCAAATATTAGCTCGAGGATTTTTTAGCGCTCGTTAGCGACGCCACCACGTAAGATTACACGGGCTCATCGTGCACGGTACGTTGTGTGTGTGTATATATGTTATTGTTTATTCGCGCCTTAGCGAGTAGCCGGGGACGATGGCCGGGACGGTATGTCGTATTCGCGGTGCATATAGGCAATAACAATATCCCGAAGAGAGTCACGAATTTGTTGCGTTATTCGCGCGGAGCTACAAGGATTTTCATCAATCACGTCTACCCGAAGCGGCAGCCCTGCGCGTACCCGTATCTCTCCCCCAGAAAACAATACACGCATTATTCCCAGCATTCCGGGTTTTTATCAGGAATCGGCAATAAAAGCTTCGAGGGGTACACGGGCGAAGGAAGGAAGCCTCCGCGCAAT